GGGGGGGGGGGGGGGGGGGGGGCGGGGGGGGGGCGCCGCCTGCCGGTCGGTGGGGGGGGCCCCCCCCCCCCCCAGCCTATGATACCCGCCACCCATGTGGACAAAGATAAATGCACCAAAGGTGCCAAACTCCCACCTGCATGTTCACCTCCAGTACATCGGTCACTCTTATTTGTGTTCTTTTTGCCTTCGAATAGTCTCAACTTCTCTCCCAACATTCTCCCTATCTACTTTAAACAGTTGTGGAACTAGGCAAGTGCCAGTTATTGTTCCCAGGCAGCAGAAACATGACCATAGACAGCCTCTGCATACCTAAGAGCAGTGCAGGCTTCTTCCTTCTGAAGATAACTGCATTCAGGACCTTTTCTACATCCAGAGAGATCGTCTGGTGAACCTAGGAGAATAAAACACCGGGTGAAAGAAGAATGAATAAAAGCCTGTCTCTGGTGTTGAATCAACAGGTTATCAGGTGGAAGACTGTCCCCTTAAATGCTCTTAATTCTCATAGATTCCAAGGCCAGAAGGGACCATTTTGTTCATCTAGCCTGACCTCCTGTATAACACAGGCCATAGAACTTCCCCAAAATAATTCCTACAGCAGATCTTTTAGAAAAACAGCCAGTCTTGATTTAAAAATCACCAGTGACGGAGAATCCACCACAGCCCTTGGTAAGTGGTTCCAATGGTTAATTACACTCACTGTTAAAAATGTATGCCTCGTTTCCAGTCTCAATTTGTCTAGCTTCAACTTCCGGCCACTGGATCATATAAGACCATTCCCCTGATAGACTGAAGAGTCCATTATCAAAATATTTGTTCCCCACAAAGGTACCTATAGATTGTAATCAATTATTTCTTTAGACAGTGTCCATAACTGAACATTTGGAAATATGTTACTAGGTAAAGATGACAGAATTTCAGGGGTCAGATTGGAGAAGGAATGACTGGGGCCCAAGCTCCACTTGTTATCCTGCACTCTGCCTGGTTTCCCCAAACAGCTAGTTCAGGGATGGGCAAACTTTTTGGTCCGAGGGCCACATCTGGGTGGGGAAATTGCATGCAGGGCCATGAATGTAGGGCTGGGGCAGGGAGTTGGGGTGCAGGAGGGAGTGCGGGGTGTGGGAGGGGGGGTGTGTGCAGGAAGGGGCTCAGGACAAGGGGTTGGGGCGCAGGAGGGTGCGGGGTGAGAGAGGGGGCTCAGGGCAGGGGGTTGAGGTACAGGAGGGGTGCGGCAGGGGGTTGGGGTGTAGGACGGGTGCGAGGTGCAGGAGGGTCATGCAGGGGGTTGGGGTGGGGGGTGCAGGCTCTGGCCTGGTGCTGCTTAACTGGAGCAGCTCCGGGGTAGCAGTGGCGCAAAGACAGGTGCCCTGTCTGCCTGCTGTGGCCCCGCGCCACTCCCAGAAGCAGCCAGCACCACGTCCCTGCGGCCGCTGGAAGGGTGGGAGACAGAGGGCTTTGCGTGCTGCCCTCGCCTGTGGATACTTCCCCCGAAGCTCCCATTGGCCATGGTTCCTCGTTCCTGGCCAATGGGAGCTGCAGGGGGCAGTGCCTGCAGGCGAGGGCAGCGCATGGAGCCCTCTGCTCCCCCTCCCCCCGGGGGCTGCAGGAACGTGGTGCTGGCCACTTCCAGCAGTGGTGCAGGCTCCGCGGCGCCACAGGGATGGCAATCCTGCGGGACGGATCCAAAGCCCTGACTGGCCGGATCCGGCCCACGAGGCCATAATTTGCCCACCCCTGAGCTAGTTGTTTCTACTAAATGATCAGCAGTAAAAGAGATAATGACCAAACCTGATGCTGGCAGATAAAGCGAACTCATTAACACCCCACGGAGGGCAGTTCACACTTTTCTAAGATGTTCTTTCCATCTAAATATTTGCAGACTTGGGGAGACAGCATGGCATCAGCTCTCATTCACAACCATAAAGGCAAAAAGCTCTGGGCCAGATGTGGCTGCTTTGCGTCACTCCAGAAGTACTGCATGAGCAGCAATGGAACAGTGGAAAGCAGCCAGAGAACAACAATGGCTCTATCCCTCCCCCCATTTTTAAGGAAAGCTTAAATTCTTCAGAAACTAATGGGACTTCCAGAGAAATACCACTGAAGAGTCTCACTGCTCAGCCTGATCCCTGAGGCATTCCTAAGTCCACCACCTAATTACCTCTGACTGATACTAGAGAGCTCTCTGTGGCAGTACCCGTGTAGGCTGTCATTCCAGTCAAGTGCTGCTGAATTTAAGAGATAGGCTTACAAGACAGTAAATGCTCACATCCCAGTGATCAATCTGGGCTGGGAAAACCAAACCTGGGTATCCCGAAAGACACAGCACAACATTAGTAGTCACCAGGATAACACAGTCCCTAGAGCCTTCACAACATCACAGCCTTGAAGAGTGTGTTTCAGAGGAGAAAGTGTACGTGAGACGACAAACTGTGACTGATTTGTCTCAAGGCCTCTATTCCTCACCCAGTATCTCATGATGTTAGGTTTGTAAGCCCTGAGAAGCTGAGCCTTTTGCAGGTTACAGATATATCCAATGGACAGGTTAGAAACACATCAGTCTTTCTATGGTAAAGTCCAGTGCTGCAAGGAATTACAAGGTGCTACACACCCATTAAGGGGGCCCAAAAACTGTGCATCCTTTCCTGGCCATACAGACTTAGGCCCCAATCCTGCACAAGCTTACACACCTGGGTAACTTCACTGACTATGAGTAGCCCCGCTAACTTCAAGAGGACTACTCATGAGTCAATTTCAAGCATTTGTGTGAGTGTTTGCAGGATCAGAGCCTAAGTTCATGCCGCTGAGGCTTTAACTCCATTTTATCACAAGGAATGGTATGAGGCACTGGCATATATATTTAGAGGGGAAGGTCCCCCCCTTGCATTGGTGTTAGAGAATATTCCATTCACAGTTACCTGTAAGTCCAATAGAGAGCACCAACAAAATGGTTTATAATTTACAGAATGGTTGTTAGCCTCCTGAAAAGCACCTTTAAAATGTATCAGTCTCTCACAGAGAATTTAGCTTTTTTGGGGGAAAGGGGAGTTTGGAGATTTTTCCCCAGGATCACCACCCTTCTCCTGAGCCCTCAAATGGTTTACATCTAAGGGCTTGTCTACATTACCCGCTGGATCGACGGGCAGCGATCGATCCAGCGGGGGGGTTGGGGGAGGGGTGTCAATTTTTCGCATTTAGTCTAGACGCGATAAATCGACCACTGAGCACTCTCCCATTGACTCCGGTACTCCACCAGGGCGAGAGGCGCAGGCAGAGTCAATGGGAGAGCATCAGCCATCGACTTTCCACAGTGAAGACACCCCAGTAAGTAGGTCTAAGTACGTCGACTTCAGCTATGTTATTCATGTAGCTGAAGTTGCCTAATTTAGATCGATTCCCACCCCTTAGTGTAGACCAGGCCTTAGCTAACCACCTGATAGGATTCCTAGCCCTCTGCCAGGCTGGGAGACCAGGAGACCAGAACTAGGAATCCCCTGCACAGAACAGTGCAGTAACTGCAAAGGCCAGCAGAATCCAGGCCAATGTGAATCATTTCTGCCTGTGAACCGGGATTTTATTTTAGCATGATGACTGTTCTCTCACAGCTTGGGTTCTGGCTTGACAGAAGTTCTAACCTCAGAGTTGTAACGATGCTGATGAACTAAGAGGGAAGCAGTCAACAGCCAAGCAGAGCAGAGAAGTGCCTCTTCGGATGAAGATAAAGCAGGTCCAGAGCGACAGGGCCACATCCAGGTGAGCTCCAAAACCTTCTGGAGCAACTCCAACAAAGGCACACTAGAGAGCAGTACAGCCACCACTACGCAGGAGAAAAGGGTACAACAGGCTTCAAGAGTCTGCTGGGATGGCGTAGAAGGAATCAGCATGTATGTGACACAAGTGATTTAAGCAAGCCACTACACTCAAGAGGCAACCAAAAAAACCCACAGGGCACAGCACCTCAGACCAGTGGTCAGTCTAGTCTGGCATTCCACCTTCTGCCACACAGATGTGATCTCTGATACAGCTAATAGAATAAACAGCGTTAAAATAATATAGTACGGTGGCCATCTTGATCTTCCTCTCTCTGCTATTATTATTTAATTTAGGGTAGAGCCTGGAAGCCCCATTCAGGCATCAGGGCCCTATTGTGCTAGCTAGCTGTTGTACGAACAAGTAAAACAAAGCTAGTCCCCTGCTCCACAGTGGCCAATACCTGAACCCTGAGGCAAAAAACAAAAACCATGCCCCAACCCCATAATGCACCTGGCCAACTGCATAATGCTGTAAATGGAAGGAAAAAACTCCTTCTTGACTTCCCCATGGAGGTGATCAGTTGTCACTGATTGCCCTTATTACCTTAGTTAGCCCAGCTACAACCACGATGAGACTAATTCAGTGAAATCATCCAACCCCACATCATTTGACACAATTTCACTTCACCTCTCTGTTGACTACATGTTGTTGTCTGGTGAAGGCTCCAATACAGGAAGTTTAAGGAAGGCTGCAGCAGCTCAACATCTCCTGGTCTGCATTTCCCACAGAGGTTACTGACTGGAAGACAGAACAATATATATCAATACACAGCACCCTCAAAAATATCTGATATAAAGAGAATTCTGAGCAGCTCACTACAAGAAAGATGCCATTTAACTGGAGAGAATTCATATAAGAGCAACAAAATGATGGATGGGCTGGAGGGATTGAGGAAAATTAACAAAACTAACACAATAATTTGGCTAAACAAAGAGTACAAGTTAATGCAGCATCCCAGGTGTGCATGGTGCGTAACACATACAGACTGACTGGCCGCTGCAACAAAGAGATTATGTTCTATACTAGACAGAGTGCAGCAACGGATGACAACAGCAAAACAAAGGGTTGGGGCAGAGAGCATGGGAGGATGAGGGGCCCAATAGTGATGGATTGGGAGATAAACTGTTACGTGTGTATATTGTTTGTTCATAACATCAAACATTTGGGGATGGTGTCTATCAAGAAGGCCTGGGAGAAGGTCAAGGACTGAAAGGCTAAGCACAGAACTGAGGGGAGGGATAGCTCAGTGGTTTGAGCATTGGCCTGTTAAACCCAGGGTTGTGAGTTCAATCCTTAAGGGAGTCACTTAGGGATCTGGGGCAAAATCAGTACTTAGTCCTGCTAGTGAAGGCAGGGGGCTGGACTCAATGACCTTTCAGGATCCCTTCCAGCTCTATGAGATAGGTATATCTCCATATATTATAATAACTGCCATATCAGACCAACACCATGGTCCATCCAGTCCTGTATTCTGTATCAGAGAAAGGCCAGCACCAGATACTTCAGAGGAAAGTGCAAGAAACACCATGATGAATTGCCTGCCCATTTACTGCCTGTGTTGCAGTACAGCCTGGCGGCTCCAACCCGAGTATGCTAGGTTAGTACAAACATAACAAAAAGACAGTCCCCTACTCAGAAAAGCTGACAGACTAAAAGGAGATGCTTCTTCCTGACCTCTTTAGTTAGCTGCTACTTGAGAATCTGTGGAATAGTCACAAGGAAAGTAGTGGAAGCCCCAAAATGTGGATCTTTCAATGGAATAGCACCCCCGGGCAGCGCTATTCCATTGAAAGGATAGCACCTGAAGAACACTGTAAAGAATATCCCTGCATTGGCCCTGGTGGGGAATAGGAGAGGAGGGAGCAGATGATCTAGTAACCTCTTTTCCATCTCTAATGTCTATGATCACTGAGCAGCTTGCATGACACATCCATCTGCTGTCCCCACATGCACAGACAGGTGAAAGGGTATGTTCCAGCAGCCCAAAGCACATCTTTGAGGCCTGCCATGAAAAGGCCCATCTGATTTCATTTTCCTACATGCGGCTTCCCCTTCTCTGCCTTGTCTGCAGAGGGAGAACTGGAATAAACTGAGAAAGGAGGAGGGAGATTTTCTGCTCCTGAGGAGTGGAGACAGATACAGAAGTACACAGATGGGTTTCAGAAGGGAAAGAGAGATGTGACATAACTACATAGGCAAAAAGGAGCATCAGAGGTTCAAAATCTTGTCTGAAGGAGTCTGGAGTAATTTTCAGCTGCCTAAAGCCCTGGCTATTGCATTTCCCTCCAGCTACATGTGAGAGCTAAGCACAATACCCAGCCTCATTCTCTGGTTCCCTGTGGCTGCTGGAGACTAGAAGTATCCTCCACTTCAAACCTCATTCCCAGGACTATGAGTACGGCAGAGACCATCTGCTCAGCCACTGGTGCAGGACACAGGCAGGCAATGCATTGCACATCAGCAACCCACTCCTGCCGCCTAAAGGGCACCAATGATGGACTCCATTCGCATCCAGTCCAGTCCCACCCAAAGGGAAAAAAACTTTGGCTTTGATGTGAGGTCTCAGGCAACAAAGGTGCTTTAAAGGCAGGAAGCAGAGGAAACAGTCTCACAGCTTGATCTTCATTTATATAGTACAGACTCTTTACACCACCCTCTGGCAGTGGAAAGGGACCTTTAAGTGACTGTAAATGTGATGTAATTTACTGCCAGGGCAGAGTAACGGGACCTGCACTCCAATAAGAACCAGGCTCTTGGTCTCAGTACAGAACCGCTGGGTTAGAGCACCCTGGGGAATGCAGAATCACATCCCAACAGGAAAAAAATGGATGCAGAGGCTTACCATGGTGAAGCAGCTTGAAGTCTGTGCTGTCCAGCTCTCTCTCAGCCTCATTCCTCAGCTGCACCAGGAAGAGAAGTCTCAGCAACAGAGGCAGGTTCTTGCTAGCTAAGAAAGGATATGAAGAGTTGGTCGATGCGCTCCATCCTCCTGCTGTCTGATAGGTACTGCACATTTTGGAGCTGGGGGTGGGGAGTTGTAAACTGACTCCCACCATCTCTGCCATCCCAACCCCCTTGTTCACTCTAGATCAGGGCTGAGCTTCCTTCCCTTCAACAGCTGGGTCCCACCAACACTGTTCTAGATTAGCTAGAGAAGAGAAAAAGGGATGGGATAGGGGGTAATACTTCCTCTCCCAGGAGGCCAGAGCCCCTTCAGCACAGAACTTGGATTTCACTTTCTTAGTGAGCCATTTAAGGGACTCTCTCACCTACATTTTTACAAAAGGGTCCAAAACCCTCTGAGAAGCTGGAAAGCATTTCTTTCCATTCTGATGCTTTTTATCCAAACTGTTATCCGTCTTAGGTAATTATAGATTCATAGATTCATAGATTCTAGGACTGGAAGGGACCTCGAGAGGTCATCGAGTCCAGTCCCCCACCCGCATGGCAGGACCAAATACTGTCTAGACCATCCCTGATAGACATTTATCTAACCTACTCTTAAATATCTCCAGAGATGGAGATTCCACAACCTCCCTAGGAAATTTATTCCAGTGTTTAACCACCCTGACAGTTAGGAACTTTTTCCTAATGTCCAACCTAGACCTCCCTTGCTGCAGTTTAAGCCCATTGCTTCTTGTTCTATCCTTAGAGGCTAAGATGAACAGGTTTTCTCCCTCCTCCTTATGACACCCCTTTAAATAGCTGAAAACTACTATCATGTCCCCTCTCAGTCTTCTCTTTTCCAAACTAAACAAACCCAATTCTGTGGCACCTCACACTCTAATGTATTAATCCTCACAATGCCCCTGGGATGTAAGGGAGCATTAGTATCCCCATTTTGCAGATGGGAACCTGAGGCACGTGGTGACTGAACAACTTGCACAGGGTCACAACGGATGGCTGGGGCAGAGCAGGGAATTGAAACTATGTCTCCAGAGCTTGTCCTCAAGCTTAACCACAAAGCCATCCTTCCTCCCCTGCCTCCACCTGAGCTTCTCTCTGCCGGGCAGCACACAGGTGAATAGTTACATATGTGTGTGTGTTTGTATGTGTGTCTGAGTGATATATGCAGGATAAATTACCATAGCCTTAGAAAAACTTTTCCCAATGCTGCTTAGGGGGTTTTCCTTTTGGGAGGGGAGGTTTAACTGCTGTTTTAAAATCCACTTGGGGTTCAGAGAACTTGAGCCCAAAGCCCTCTGGTTATTTATACAAGTTTTCCAGATACACTGCCCCTTCCCTGATTTGCCACAGACCTTGTCAAAGGGGCCACCTCCAGTGGGAGGAAAGAATTCAAGTCTCCAAGGCTCATTCGGTCGTTGGCTTCCCAGATGAAACTATGAATAACTGGGCCACAGCTAGCATAAACCGCAACACAAGCAGGTGCCTGTGATGTTAGGAATACAGGTATTGCAATGGTAGATCAGACCTCAGGTCTATCTCGCCTCATACTCTGTCTCTGATAGTGGCCAGCACCAGATGCTTCAGAGGAAGGTATAAGAACCCCACAGTAGGCAGAGGTGGGATAACCTGCACTCATGTTGTTGCCTATGCACTAGGAACTGTCTTGAGCCCCACCAACTCATGCTGCATAGAGAACTGAACAGAAAAGAGACAGGAATGACTTTCAGCCACTAGCTACCTGAGAATGTGTCTACATGAGGACATTTACTGGCAGAACTCTACAGCTCTAGTTATACTGATGTAACTTCCCAGGGGCACATTCTTTTACCCCAGAATCAGAATGCCCTTTTTAAGTTTAATTTATACTGTTTTCACAGTGACATAAGCAAACCAGAAAAGGCACATGGATTCTGGAATAAAAGTGTGTCCACACGAGGAGTTATATCAGTGTAACTGTAGTGGTACAGTACTGCCAGTAAATTTCTGCATGTAGACCAAGCCCTGCAATTAGGGCCTGGTCTACATTTAAATCTTATGCCAGCAAAGCTATGTCAGTTATGGGTGTGATTTTTTTTACTAGCATGAGCCCTAATGTAGGTGCTATGTATTTCAGGGAACTGGTATAACTCAGATCTCCACTAGGAGGGTTTCCTACGTGGGCAAGGCCTAGATTAGAACCAGTGACTCTGAAATCAAAGGCTTTTTATCCTGGAGTTACCCCCTTGAGCTATCCAGTCCTTTCACAAATTTCAGGGTGTGGGTCCCTAATTACAAGTCGGATTCACCTTGTAACGTAGTGGAGCTGCTCTCCACTAGAAGCTTCTGCAGGATCTGTAGAAACTGACTCCGAAGGAGGTCACAGACAACAACATCCTCGTTTCTTTTCAGGAACATACTCAAGGTCACCAAAACTTTGTGAGCCACTTCTGTGGTGCTCAAGCAGACCAGGTCCTGAGAGGGAAGAAGTGCAGACATTACCTTTCTGTCCTGTGAACAGCAGAAGTCATTGCTGTTCACTATCATTATGCTACACTGGTTCCTAGAATGACACCCTAGCGATGTGGATGTCCAAACTAAGTTTGGCCATTAACCAGAGTGTATTGTATAACACAGGAAGGCTCCCCTCTTTGATAGCCACACACCTTCTTTAAGTGGGCTGTTAGAATTAAAGTATTGATATGTGGCTATCAAGTGCATGGGCATAGGAAGTAGTGCAAGCCTTCAGGCCAAGAATTTTAAAAACAAGTGCCTGAAGTTAGGCACCCAAATCAGTGGCCTGAGTTTCAAGAGCGCTGAGCAGCCCGCCACTCTCGTGGGGAACTGCTGCTTTGAAAAATCAGGCCACTTATGGTAGGTGCCTAAATACGGATTAATGAGCCTAACTTTAGGCACTTGTTTTTAAAGTTCTTGACCTAGAAGCCTAGCACATATAGAAGCAACATAATGGATAAAAGTGATCAATTGTGTGATACATAAACCAAATATTCCTAGAATCACAGAAATTAGAAATGGAAAAGACATGTATAGATCATCTAGTCCATCACCCGGCCCCTCCCCAAGAATAGCCCTTCCTGGAGTCTCATAGCTAAATTCCCACTAACTCTGGCAAAGATTCAGCACAGCACTTAAGCACGTGCTTTACTTTAAGCATGTACTTCAGAGTTTGCTGAACAGGAAAGGACTTAAGTATGTGCTTAAAGTTAAGCTTATGTTTAAGTGCTTTGGTGAATTGGGACCTACAAAGAAACAGATTCAGAGACAGGCCATATGAAGGATAGAGAAATTTCCATATGAAGAGAGACTGAAAATATGGGGAGTGTTCAGAGAGGAGTACGAGGAGACACAATGGAAGTATAAAAGTAATGAATGCTTCAGAGAAGGTAAATTGAGCGCTTCTATTTACCCTAGTTTGTAATACAGAACAAGGGGACATTCAGTGAAACAGAAAGACAACATATTTCATAGTGATAAAAGGAAATCCTTCATGCAATTATGTATAATTGCCCCGCAGAACTCACTGCAACAAGATATAAAGATTTGAATTCTATTAAGCAAGGATTAGATATTTATATGGATAATGAGAACATCCACAGTTACATTACAGGATAAAATATTTCCAAGAGATAGAAACCCTTAGGCTTACATGCATGAGCTGACCACTTATTTCCCAGGGTTAGGAAAAAACTTCCCTTATGAGCAAGTTTTTCCGTAATCTTCCATTATGGGGTTTCTTGCATCTTCCTGTGAGGTACAGGATACTGATCACCACAAGAAATAGACCAGTGGTCTGACCCAAAAAGTCCTTTGTTCTTAATGCAATACAACACCATTCCTATGAGCTACTGCTTATATTTAGTCTTGAATTCACTCCAGGGTGGCCTTCATCTGTGCAGGACAGGAATATAATCTAAAAGTTGGCAGAATGTCTTCACTGTATGTGTTAAATTTTTCTTTTTTTACTCAGGAGCTAACGGTCCCAAATGAAGCCACGCACCATCTGTCCTATCTAATCCAGAGTTTTAATAAGAACAGCTAAGCAAATAAAACATTTTGGGAAGGATATTCATTTGTGTCTTCCTGTGACAAGTCTTTTCATTTTACAAGAGTTTTAACTTGCCCTAACAGGCGGTGGTTATTTTTCTCATAAGCTTGGTTTATATCTGATGGAATATTTATGCCAAGACACTGGACTGTTTTATTAGCCTATCTAAATTCAAACTGATCATGCTGTACCCCTGCAGAGAGGTGAATTGCCAATATCTGTGATTTACTGTAGTTTACTTTAAAGCCTGAAACAGAGCTAACTTAATTTCCTTCTGTAGGAGTGCATGGCAATGAGAAAATGGGAAAACAGGAACATAGTATCATTCACAAATGATGCAATTTGTTTCTCTTTTACTTGTTTATACCTGTAATATTTAACCTGATTTTAGTTTGCTGGATGAAAGGTTTCAAAATTATTGTGAAAGATAATGGGGTAGGTAAGTCATCCTTTTAATTCACATTGATTTGTCAGCTCATCATTCACTTTCACTGATGCTCTGGAAATATCAAGCGCCTGAATATGGTTTAGTATTCTGGAACCTAGTCCCAACTGGTGAAGGATTTCTCTAAGAAATGGCCATTCTGTCTGTTGGCCCTTTCAGTAACCGGAGAGAAACAAATATTTTGCAACCTCCTAGACCAGGCCAGATGTACCAGCACTCCAAGCCCTGTGTATGCTGCCTTGTGTGTGCCTACTCATAATAAAACCTACCTCATTTCATAATTATTTTGGGAGGTTGCTTATCCAAGAGCGTGTTATTACTTGATCTGAAAGCTTAGTAGTTTTAGTAATGAAATAGGTCTCTATTCTGAAAAATATATAGTATCCTTATCAGGCTTGGGAAGAAATAACAACAAATCACTGACTTCAATGGAGCTACACTGATTTACAGCAGCTGAGGGTCTGGCTCATTATTCCAACTGCTGGGAGGATCTTGCCTCATTGATCCCAAAGGCTTTTGATTTCAGTTTTGTAAGAGCAGCACAGGCAGGGCCAGCTCCAGGCACCAGCCTAGCAAGCAGGTGCCTGGGGCGGCCAATGAAGAGGGAGGCGGCACGTCCGGCCCTTTCGGCGGCAATTCGGCGGCGGGGCCGTCACTCCCTTTGGGAGCAAAGGACCCGCCGCCGAATTGCTGCCGTAGAATGAAGCGGCGGTAGAGCTGCCGCCGTGATCGCAGCTTGCTTTTTTTTTTTTTTGCACTGCTTGGAGCAGCAAAAATGCTAGAGCCGGCCCTGAGCACAGGGTGCTATTTACTGTCCTGGGAATCCTGGGAGTAGCACAAAGAAACACCTCCCAGTTAATAAATACGCTCCCTCAGTTCTAGCCTTTACATGCCATTATTAAAGCTCTTTATTCCTCCCTTTCTTTCCTATCCATCAATAGCCTATCACGGTCCCCACGTTAACAGAGCAGCTTTTTGCAAAGCTACCACTGAAGAGATTAACCAGCTGTGTGCAAGGAGCTCACAGTACATGTGAATTTTTTTGTACCATGTATAAACAAATGCAGTTACGCAGCACCTTTGTGATGGGTTTCACTACCTATCTGGGTTGCCGAAGGCCCTCCAGGCAGGTTGCCCAGGTACAAAGGCCCACAATCCCATTTCCCATGTCAGGTATGCATGTCTGGTTTGTGACCAGAGCTTAATTTGTGCCGGGGCACAGCCTTGGCCCCTCTCTTGTCAGTGGCGGGCTGTGACATTTATAGCAAAGCATGTAATACTACACTAGCACGCAAGGCATGGCCTCGCTTGTATGGTGTGTGCAGAGGGCACTCTGCGCGGAGGACACCATGTTGTTCTGCAAACAGCCTCCTCCACGCAGCATGACCTTGCCGAATGGTGCCATTTTGTTCTAGGAACAGTATTATGGTTATTGCTTGAGCCCCAGCACCTCTTTCTTTACAAATCAGACACTGTCTGTGACTGCATATGCATATGTGAGACTGCTCACTTAGGCCCCGATTCAAGAAAACACTTATCCATGTGCTTAAGTGCTCTCCTGAATCGGGGCCACAGATGGCAAACTGTCCTTGTGAAAGTCACATACCAGTAAAATGAGTAAAACACTGGAATTGCCCTTCAGGATGTGAAGCAAAGTGGTAAAGCTGTTCGGATAATCAGGCAAGCCAGAGGAGAGCCCAGAGACAGCATCTTCAGTCTCAATCTGACTGTAGTCTTCCCAGGAAAACCAGAGCTGGAGGATCCGGCGACCGAATCTGCCCATAAGCTCAGAGTAACGCAGGAAGAATTTAAGCAGAACAGGATGATGAATATAGACCAAGCTTAGATCTGATGTATTCTCCAAGACTCTCCTTATGGCACATAGTGGACTCTGACAAGAGTGGAGAGAGAGAGATATTACCATTAGATGAAGATGATGTGATGAGACCCCATTGTGAGAAGTGCAATTATGTGCCCTGTTTATGCAGCCTATCAATACCAACTAAATACAGTCCTTGTGAAAGCTGTTGAATCACAAAGTCTAAGAAACTCTTGTAAACTCTGTTCAGTGCTCTGACCCAGCAAAAAGCCGTAAGGAAATGTTAGAAAGCCTGCTGCAGAAGCTGCTGATGCTCTCAGAAGACTGAAACTATGGAATTTATAACAGCATTCACGTGCACTCCCAGGACTACCCATCATGCAAACACCTTCCCACATGGACACAACTTTATTCAATACAAGCTCTATCCCAAAGTGTTTGTCACAGTTAAATAACCTGAGAGTACACATGGTGTGAGCTCCCCCAGTCTATTCACTGACCATCACACACAGTCACTTTTCTGGGGTGGAGGGGAGAAAGTAAAAAACTTAAAGAAGCTCTGATTGGTGATGATGAAATCAGCTTTTACCGAGTCTAAGGCTTCGCCTTTGTCTTGACAGACAGCCAGAAGGTAAAGAACGGCTCTGAAGACGTAAGGAGGGGGACAGTCTCCCTGGTCCTGCACTGACAGAAGGAAATTTCTTATGGCTGAGAATAATTCTGCCTCTGGAACAAACCTGCAAACGAGGATGGGGAGGGGGAACAGTAAGGATGACAGGCTGCACCCTCTGGTATCTGTGTACAGTGCTGCCCCCTCCTCAACCACACGGCTTGGCTCACCTGTCTTCCAGGGCATAGGCACAGTACAAGAGGAGCAGGAGGCAATACTGGTGGCTACGAAGAGCTTCATCTGAACAGAAGGGATCTGGGGTTTCTGACAGGAGGGTGAGGCTTTCAGGCACACTGCAGTTTAACTGGGGCAGACTCCTCTGCAGGAGCTCAGACATCTCTCGCTCTAGAAACAAAACCAGCATGAGAAGGGCAGGAAGGACACAGGAATACCAGAGCAAAGGCAGAGAGGTCTGGAGCGAGGGGTGCATAGTTCCCCACCCCAAAGTCAGGAGTATAAAATCAGGGAGGGATCTGGCTGATACATTTATCCCCAGAGCAGATATAGTACAAGCAACAGCAAAGCATGATTCTCTGGTGCAGATCTGCTGTACATGCCTCAACCCAACCTAGTGAGACCATATCTAAAGATGAGAAGGGAGTTCTGCTTTCATGGCCCATTCAGTCCTTGGCTCTCTGCTGAGGCCATCAAGAGAGATACTAATTAGTGCCAACTGTGAGAGTGTTTTTTGTGTAGAAACCTGCACCCACCCAGAACTCGAGTGAGAAACCGACACACTCATTTCACTTAGGGCTTGAAATTATCGGTGCAACTAAATTGGGAAAAAGCACTCTTATTCCAGGAGAATGGGGTCCCCACTGAGAGTTATATCAGCATAACTAACACAGTATCTCTAATATCCTGGTGCCGACATGGCATATCATGGTATAATTATACCAGCAATGTTATGCCAGTAAATTTCCCATGCAGTCAAGCCACAGAGATTGCTGAAACAGGGATGGATTTTTAATGGCTCAAGGCTTGGTTTTGAGTATGGAGTAAATATGTTTAGAAAAGCCCGATTTGCCTCCCTGGCAGACAAGCTAAACCAGCTGAAAAACCTTTAAATCAGGGGCAGACTGGGTCCACCCAATCTGAACCAGATTAAATTGTCTCCTTCATCAAACTTGCCCTGCTGGGAAGAGTCCTCCATCTTCTCTGCAGCTGAATGAAGGCTGAGGCACATGGTGTAGAGGAAGCTGGAACAGGCTTGATTCAAAGCAGGGTTACTTGAAGGGAGAACAAAAAGATATGAGAATGGAGATCTAGGCTGATGCATCCTCTCCAGGCTCAGGATTCTTCGTGTTTATTTGACAGGAGAGCATCAGCCTACGGGGAAACAACTAACTGCACACAACATCTCCCTTGTCAAGACATGATACCCAGAGCTTGGGGCTCCAGGAGACTCAGGAGCACCTCAGACATTTTGGGATGAATAGCAAACGGCAGTGAAGAGCTATCAGAGCAGTTATGTTCCAGGGGTTAACGCTGAAGAGTGGCAAAAAAAATTACCTAAAAGAGTGAGAAGAACACAATCCCAGACATTTCCCTCCCTGGCTGTGAGGACTTCTCACAGAGACCCCTATAGAACAGGACCATCGACATTATAGCCCAGTGTCTCCTGGGCAGCCTGCCCATCTATTCCCAGTCGCAGACCACCTCCCTGCCCAATCGCAATCACAAAACATCCCCGTTTTAACTATCACACCTGCTCATGTGGACAAGCGATACTAGGATCACAGCAAATGTATTTTTAACTGCTCTTGTAATGAGATGTAGCAGCTGGATACAAGGAGAGCCAATACCTAGCCTGCTTGCTGCAAACTATTAGCAAGTGCTCCATAAGTAGAACCCTGCAAATCTGGGGGAGGGGAGGATGACACAACCTAAAGGGGAGGACACATGACCGCCCCATATGTCTCCTCTGTCCAGCGACTGCCGGTGCCCAGCCCGGGGCCGCTACGCTCTCCCCCACTAGAGTTACCTGGCGGGGGCTCTGTCCTTCTTCCACTCTACTTCCCCACAACATTCGCCCGCTCTCCCTGGCAGCTGGGCCAGGGCGGGGGGGCAGGAGGGAGCCACTTCTCATGCTGGTTGAAGCTGACCACTCTGGGTTGCCGAATCTGTGCAGCGCAGCAGCTGCCTGAGAGAGAGCCTGGTGGGGTTGTGGCCTGCCCTGCCCCTCCCCTCTGCTCCCCACCTGAGCCGGCTGCCGGGGACAGGGACTGAGTGAGCCAGAGTCCCTCCTCCTCCTCAGCATGTTTCCAGCTCACTCGGCCCCTGTCCCTGGCAGCTGGGCCCAGGCAAGGAGCAGAAGGAGTGGGGAGGACTGTCACCCAAGCCAGGCTCTCTCTCAGGCAGCTGCCGCTGCGCTGCCAGAGCAGCAGTTGATCCCACCCATTCTGCTCCCCACCTGGGCCTGGCTGCTAGGGACAGGGGCTAAGTGTGCAGGGGGCAAGTGCAGTGGGAGTAGGGAGCCCCCTCTCCTTCCCCACGCCCCGGCAGGCCAAACAGAAATATGGGGGGAGGGAGGCACTTGACCCCACACATCCCCTTATGTGTCGCCTATGCACGTGGGGCTCTATCCATAAGCTTCCAAGCTCTGCTAGAAATGACCCAGCATAATGTATTTTGTTAGCGTTCTTACCCTCCCCATCCCTTCTAATCTCTGCACCAGTATTTATACAGATGATATGTTCTGTTCCTGAAATGCCAGAGCGCCAGTGAAATGGAACCTGCTGTAACATCTCCTCTCCATGGCATCCAGTGTCATCACTCCATCACAGCAGCACCATTCTACTGAACCTGCATAGCATGTTCCTTACTGGGGATCTTTTAAAACAGTTCTGGCAAAATTTGGAGTTCACTTTTCCATTACACCATCAGTTTCTCATCCCACCTCCATCCATCTAATTTTTTCCTTTTCAATTACTATTTAGGTCTTTCAACAAATGAAGGGAAATGGTGCTGGCCCAACTGAGCAGAGGGTATTTCAGATCCATTCGCATTTAATTCTGCTGCAAGAATAGGACATTTCCTCTTTTCTCAAATGGAAACTCTTGGTTTAGTTTCAATATAGAGGACAGTACCTTTGTCCAGTGCAGAATTTGGCCTTCAGCTCCAGTGCCAGTCGGATGAAAGAAGAGGATGCTAGAGAGAAGGCAGAGCAGGAGGGAAGATAAATACATCATGAGAGCACAGAATGCAGGACCTCATGTAACAAACAACCATCCCTGGCTTTTCAAAGCAACAGCTGGCAAACAAGACAGGTCACCCCAGACAGAATGCATCTGCCAGGCTCATTCTCTTTTAGGTTCCATGGGCAAATTATTTTTCCAGATTTTGGAGAGAAGAGCATATCTGTGATTCACTGAAGAGTTAAACACTGCCAGGTGTACTAGCTCAGGGTGAGGGTGACTTCCTCTTCATCTCTGACCCAGAAGGCAGTAAATAAGACAGACGATATAGAGGAAATAAAACACTTTGTCTGATCTCCTGTCTCCAACAGTAGCCAATTCTGGAGGCTTTAGAGGAAAAGTACAAAGCTCCCATAATGGACCTAGCTGAAGTGCTATGCTATGGGGTAAACTCCTTCCAGCACACAGCAGATCTTGTTTTTAACCCTGGGTTTTATCCTAGTTAACGTAAGTGCAGATGCTAGTCTTACTCAAATAAATGGCTCTATGTGAAATCTTGCTAAGCTCTTTGCTTCAATCATGTCCAGCAGCAGCAAGTTCCCCAGGTTAATCAGATTATTCACTGTGTAAAGAAGCACACTGAATTACGATGTCAGAGTTCTGCATACCCAGCTTCCTAGAGAATTTCTCATGCATGCTCGGCACAACAGTGAACAGGGTGCTGAGGGAGGATATGAAAACCTCCATCAGAGCTGGGCTGGAAGTCCTTTCTGAGTGCTTCTGTGGGGAGAGGAAATGGTCAGCAAGCAAATGCCGTATCCCTTTGCGCACAGGCACTGACTTTCATTTTTCTGGGTGGGTGTTCCACTCCTGCTCCACCCTGA